TGTTTTTTAAACTTAAATCTTGATTTATGATTTCATTAATTACTTTGTTTTCATTTGAAAACTTTTTGCATGATTCTCATGTTCTATCTTTTGATTTCATAAATCTATCTTTATACACTATGTTTTTAAGTTGTGTAATGAGACACTATTTTTCACTTTGATATATTTATATATGTTCTCATTTGTCTTTATGCATGTGAGTTGTGCTTAGCATATTTTCCATCTATGCTTGCTCACATATGTTTGCCATGATCTTTATTTCATATATTTTCTATATGGCATTTTGATAGGGGGAGCTATTCCCTTTTCTATGTTTGTTTTTATACTCACCTATGCTTATTGATAGGGGGAGCTTTCGTTCTCTTAATTCTTTTGTCCCCTTTTTGATGTTGTCAAAGGGGGAGAAATACTGTGAGTATATCTATTTTGTTTGCTTATATGCATGTTTATTGGAACTTGTATATTCATTTCCTTCATGCATATATTCCTTTTTGTAAATTGTTTGTCATCATCAAAAAGGGGGAGATTGTTGGCCTTCTTGTTTTGATGATGATTTACAAACAATTTACTACTAATGTTGTTTGTCTAGTGTTTGTGCATTCCTATGTTTTGTAGACAAACAACGTAGTTGGAGGATGGATGGATTGCGCCATAACGACGATATCAAATGGAGGTTGGCGGAATTGTGGAGTGAAGCATCGTACAATTCAAGTTCAAGATCCAAGTTTAGCTTCATCCGCAAGTGTACCAAGATAGAGCTTCGTTGAAGATCAAGATTGCTTGGGTAATTTAGTTTAGGTTTTATATTATGTGTGTTAGATACTCTAAGCTCAATATCATATACACACACGTATTTGGTTTCTATGTATATATATAGTTATATATATACATGCATGGTTTTGGGTTTTTATGTTTTGAACACTTTTGCAAAATAATGAGATTTCATAATTGGGAAATGCAAATTGGAAAATTCTTTTTGTAACATGTTCAAAATATCATTTGCAAACATTTCTCAAAGTTTCATCAAGTTTGGAATTGATTTGTTATGTTTAAAGGAATTTACAAATTCACGTTTTCGTTCGTGCACATGTTCGTGCATGTTTTACAAAACTGATGAGTTTTTACAAATGAGAAGTGATATTTGAAAAATTCTTTCTCTGACATGTTTATATACATGTTTAGAAACTTTCCTCCAGTTTTTACTATTTTTGGAGTTGATTTACTGTGCCTACTTGATTTTACAAAATCGTGTATCACAGCAGATTTTCAGAAACTGTATTTTTGTGTTCAAACATTTATTTCTCTCAACTGGGAAATGATTTTTCAGAAATTCTTTCTCTGACATGTTAATCTACATGTCTAGAACATTCCCACAAAATTTCATAATTTTTGGAGTTCATTTACTATTTTAAATTGATTTTACAAAATTGCTGTGCATTGCTACAGTAATCCGGTCGACCGAAATTTTGGTCGGTCGACCGAAATTTCCTCCGGTCGACCGGTACGGTCGACCGACGCTGTTTCTGCTCGATTCCCAGGTTGGGATCTTCATCGCGGTCGACCGACGATATTTTCGGTCGACCGACAAGTTGACCGTTGGCTTCCAACGGCTCTTTTCTGAGCTGATTCACTGGGGCTGTTTTTGTCTTTTGACTTGGGTTTTTGCTGAGATTTCTAGTGGGTATAAATACCCCATTGCTGATGTCTTTTCAAGTTAATCAAGTGAGTTTTAAAAACAAGTTTAAGGGTGTTTTGTGTTTGTTTAAAAGAGTGTTTAAGAGTTTGGTTTGTGAAGATAATTTCACAAGGGCTTGAGGAGATAATCTTTGGTGTTTGGGCTTCAAATCATCTCTCTCACTCTTTTCATTTATTGGAGAAGTTTTCTAAACTCAATCTAGCTTTACAATTTATTATTTTGATTATAATTTCATAAGCTAGATTTCATATTGAGTTTAGTTTAATTGTTTTATTGATACTCTTTGTTCACACACAACCTATTGAGCTTATTGTATTTGCATACATTATATAATTGGGTTGTGGGATAGTGTGACATTGAGTTGAGCCTAATTGAGTTCTCACCTTGTTAGAGAGAACAATCATTTGCTATATTGTGCTTAATTGTTAAATCACTTTGTAATACTCTTGTACACCGAGTGAGGAGTGTGTGGTGAGAGTCGGGGATCGTCCCAAGAGGAGTGGCGTCGGTTGACGTGCCTAGGGAGAGGTTGTAACCGAGCACTTGAGGGAGACACGGCTAGGTCCAACACTTAGTGGGTGTAGAGTGTGATTGCAAGAGTGTGAGTTGTAGAGTTTTCGGTTAGCTAGAAAACCGAGTGTGTAGAAGAAGTTCCGGCTTCCAAACCGGATTGTGTTAGTGGATTTCTCCCCGGGAGTGGGGAGCGGTCGGTTGACGAACCTAGGGAGAGGTTGTATCCGAGCACTTGAGGGAGACACGTCTAGTTCAACACTTGAGAGGGTGTAGAGTGGGATTACAAGAGTGTGTTAGTTGTAGAGTTTTCGGTAAACTAGAAAACCGTATTGTGTGGTGTAAACGTTATTCGGGTGAACGTAGAAAACCCGGTTGTGATAGTGGATTTTCCCCGGGAGTGGGGAGCGGAGACGTAGGACGGATGGTCCGAACTCCGTGATCATTTGATTGTGTTTGAGTGTGCTTTGGCGTTCATTTATATTTGTGCTTATTGCTCATATCGTCTTTGTCTCATTATCTAGCTTGTCTACTACATTGTTTACATTTGTTTATGTTACCCTTGTGTTTGCATATCCCTGCAAATATCATATAGTATCACTCTTTGCTAGGATATATCACCTTGTGTATATTGCATATTCTTGCTCATAAGTAATTGGATATCATCTTGCAAGAATAATTTGTTAATTAATTTTTATTGGCATAAAATCGGATTAGATTAGCATAAGACCCTAATCAACCCCCCCCCCCTCTAGGGTCAACACTTAACATTATAAATATATTAACACCAAAATTATATAATTTTATACTTTATTCATTAATATGTTAGGAATGATAACTATGAAGTGGCGACTCTTTTAGTAAAATAAGCAACCAAGAGATTGAGATGGTGAAATTCACACCTTTTGATGTGACAAGTTGAGTGTAACTCATTGCTACCCCTATCTCTTGGTAGCTTCCATTTACAAAATGAGCTGCCACATTGTACCTATTTTTCTAATATGTTTTATTTCAAATACTTAGCTTATAAATTATATAAATTTAAATATATCGTCAAGGATGTGGTGAGTGACCCTTGAAGCTTCAAGGCTTTTTTCTAAAAATTAATAAAAAATTTTGAGGGTTTGTTCTGATTTTTTTGTTTTTGAAATTTTAGTATTCTTTCTGCAAAATTTTGGATTTTATTCTATATTATTATGAAGATTAATTGCTGTTTTTGTAAATTCAAGGTTATTCTATAAAACTTGCAACTTTGTTGTGCTTTAATAAAATTGTGAACCATATCTAAACAATCGCAATTTTTAAAAATCTTTTGGGCTTTTCTGCTACTTTTTTAAGTTCTGATATTTTACTACAAATGTGAAATTTCTGGAAGTCTATTTGGGTTGCTTTAAAGTTTCGGTGATTTTTACCCAAAATATGTAATCTTTGAAAGGCTTTTGGTATTCTGCCAATTTTGTAACTTCCATGGACTTTTCTGCAAATCTACAATTTTCAGAAGTATTTTAATTATTTCCTTAATATTTATATCCTGAGGAGTTTTCTATAAGAATCACCAAAGATTGTGAAGTCTCTGATGGTCTTTTCGTAAATTTTTTTTTACTGATTTGGGATTTAGGGTTGCACTTATAAAAAGTATGGGTTCATTTGAATTTTTCATTTAATTATTTGATAATTTATTTTTTTTAATTTAACATGAATTAGCATTTAATCATTAAATGATTGATAATTATTATAATTGAAAATTATCAAATTTGAGAGGACAAAAGAGGTGAGGAAAAGTTCTGACATAGCAATTATATGTAATATAGATATAAATATGGGAAAATTTACAAAATAGACCGTTTTTATAAAGTAATTAGCGAAATAGACCGTTTTTAAAAGTAATTATGGGAAAATTTACAAAATAGACCGTTTTTATAAAGTAATTAGCGAAATAGACCGTTTTTAAAAGTAATTAGCAAAATAGACCGTTTTTTGGCAAAAGAGGTCGATTTTAAAAAAGGGTTCAGAAAACATACGGGACTACTAGTCCCGTATGTTTAAACTCACTCAGAAAATATACGGGACTATTAGTCCCGTATATTTTCTGTTTGTTAACAAAACATACGGGACTAGTAGTCCCGTATGTTTTCTGAACCCTTTTTCAAAATCGACCTCTTTTACCAAAAAACGGTCTATTTTGCTAATTACTTGTTGGTTAGCAAATAAATCAGAAAATAAATAGCCTGTTCATAATAAAAGCACCTTAAGCTTACTTGAATCTATTGAAACAAGACACCAAGTAAAGACAAGGGTTAAACTTACCGAGAAGCTAACTTATCAGGGAAAGTAAATGAACCAAATATGAAAGTAACCTCACTTTTCACATCAAACTTGCCACAATTTTCTTTCAATCATCCAAACAAAATTCGCGTGCAGAAAATAATAAGTTTTTTCTTGTGGGGGAAAAAGCAATTTAAATATTTTACGTCCATTTAACTCTCAATCTCCAAGACTCCCGCTGAGCCCACCGCCCACAAACAGCACCTGAAGGACAATTTCAATTTCCTTTCCGGACAAAGTCAAATCTCATCACAAACTACAATCTCAACATTGAGCAAATCTCACTATCTACTCACAAAATATTTTCTCTCTGGACTTCTGTATCTTTCATTCTTATATATATCACTCTTCTTTTTTCTCACCTCAACTGTTCAAATCAAAGCAGCCATAAAAAAGTATCACACAAGCTTAGCAGCAGGATAAGGTTCTCAAAATTAGATCACAAATCTTATCCCCTTTCCGTCTCCTCTTTCTATCCACCTCTCCACTCTCCTCCTCAAAACTTGAAGCTCATCCACTTTCATCTTCAAATAACTGCGTGTCCTCGCTTGCATCCTCATTGCCCACATTTTGCTTTCTCTACCGTCTCTTGATCAGTCTCGAGCCAAATCTGTGCGAAAACTCGTTTCTTCTCGGAGCGAAGGAGACCCTTGTGCTCAAAAATTCCATACCCATTTCCTCTCTGCTCAGGAAACAGAAGCAAAGCAAGGCAAAATATCAGTCCTATTGGCTTCTGGAACCAGATACCATTTCAAGCAAAACGACCAAATGCCACAAAGCTAAAGCAAAGCTCATACCTTTGTTCCAACTCATTTTCGATATACAATAGGGCAGGCACCTGCTCTTTATTCTCTTTGAAAAGAATTTGAACCTGAGAACCTCAAAAAGACCACCTCTTTCTCCCAAGAATTTGAACCTGAGAAGCTCAAAAAGACCCTCTCTCTTTTCCCCCAAGAACCAGATACTCCCTACCTATAAAAAGAAGGTAATGCCTCTCTTCTTATATCAGCCCGCACAAGAATTTTCCTGTCAACTGAATAAATAAATAAATAATTGAACCTGAGAACCTTAAAAAAGACCTCTCTTTCTTTCAAGAATCAGACACCTCCTATATCAGCCTGCACCAGAAATAAAAAACTGTTGATCAGTACAAAGGGAGGAACATTAGTGCTCAAGAAAAATCAGTATCAGAAAATATCATTTGAGCCAACAGTTTGGTAATTGAAGAGAGATTCTTGATGGAGAATAACAACCAACAACCCTCCTATATCAGCCTGCACCAGAAATAAAAAACTGTTGATCAGTACAAAGGGAGGAACATTAGTGCTCAAGAAAAATCAGTATCAGAAAATATCATTTGAGCCAACAGTTTGGTAATTGAAGAGAGATTCTTGATGGAGAATAACAACCAACAACAATGACTTCAAGAACCATCAGCTCCCCCTCGCCCGCATCAAGAAGATCATGAAGGCCGATGAGGACGTTCGGATGATCTCTGCAGAGGCGCCCATCCTCTTTGCCAAGGCCTGCGAGCTCTTCATCCTTGAGCTCACCATCCGTTCATGGCTACATGCTGAGGAGAACAAGAGACGAACCCTCCAGAAGAACGATATTGCTGCAGCCATAACAAGAACCGATATCTTTGACTTTCTTGTTGATATTGTACCGATACAATATGGGTACCGATGAAGAAGAAGATGATAGGGGCCCAAACACCAAGGAGGTGAACTCAACTCAAATCGGGTCTGAGTCCCGAGATTGGCGCTTTCCTATCATTGACTACGTCCAATATGGCATCTTGCCGGAGGATGTAAAAGAAAAAGAATCTATTCGCCGAAGAGCACCACGGTTCTTTTACAATATCGAGACCCGTACGTTATACCGCCGGGGGTATGACGATTTGCTCCTCCGATGCCTTTCGAACGAAGAAGCAAAAGAAGTGCTTAAGGAAGCGCACGAAGGAGAATGCGGTGCGCATCAGCCTGGTCCCAAGCTATATGATCGAATCAGAAGAATGGGATATTATTGGCCAACAATGGTACGTGACGCAATCGAATATGCACGAGAATGTCACGCCTGTCAAGTGCATGCAAATTATATGCACCAACCGCCAGAACGATTACACACATCAACTACATCCTGGCCATTCGAGACTTGGGGTATGGACATTGTCGGTCCAATTTTTCCCCCTTCAGTCAAAGGTGATCGGTTTATTCTCGCTATCACTGACTACTTTTCAAAGTGGGCTGAGGCGATTCCGCTTAAGGAAGTGAAGACGAATAACGTCATCAACTTCATCAAGCATCATGTCATATACCGACACGGCGTGCCGAGACGGATCATCCACGATAACGGTCCACAGTTCATAAGCAACGCTTTCATCAGGTTTTGTGATAAATTCAAGATCGAGGATGTATCATCAACAGCGTATTATCCAGCTGCAAACGGATTAGCTGAAGCTTTCAATAAGACGATCATTAAGATCCTGTCTAAGCTCGTGAAGACCAACAAACGAGACTGGGACGATAAACTTGGGGAGGCACTCTGGGCTTATCGCACCACCATACGCACTCCTACGGGAGCTACTCCGTACTCGTTAGTATATGGATGCGAAGCGGTGCTACCTTTGGAAATTCAAATTCCCTCCCTTCGGATCGCTCTCGCAACGGAGATGACGACCGAAGAACAACATCAGAAGCGTCTCGAAGAGCTCGAGAGGCTGGATGAAAAGCGCTTGGAAGCTCAACAACACATCGAGTTCTACCAGGCTAGGATGTCCAGGGCTTTTGACAAAAGAGTCCGCCGAAGAAGCTTCAAGGAAGGAGATTTGGTCCTCGCTGCTCGTCGACCAATAATCCTCACCTCCAAGATGAAAGGTAAATTTGAACCTAAGTGGGAAGGACCGTTTGTAATAGACACAGTCTATTCAAACGGCGCTTACCGTCTGATTTCCCTAGAGGGCGCCAGGCAATTAATGCCAATAAATGGGAAGTTCCTGAAAAAGTACTATCCCTAGTACATTCAGGATAACCCATTTACCGGGAAGTTCCTCGGAGAATATTACACTCAATATTCTAGAGGATAACCCAAAATCATTGTCTCCACCAAAATCCCTCACTGATCAGTTCCAATTGACAGTGGGTCCACAAAAAATGTCCATATGACCTTCTTGACTCTTTCCATAGACAAGAAGGTCCCCTTTCAGATCGGATTCTCCTTTCGATAAACGAAAGAACTCCTTTCTTTTCTCTTTGGTCAAGCCTTCCCATGGTTATAGCCAAAGTTGAAATTCCACTTCGATAAACGAAGAACCCATTTTCAGTTTAGATAACTCATCCTATAAAAGGCAAGTTTATCTAAATTTTCCAGATTCTCGGAGTGGACACCCCACTTCTAGTTTCTTCCTCGCTGGAAATAGAATATAAAATTCTTCCTTTCCAGGATCAGGGAATAGAATATAAAATTCTTCCTTCCTTGTTTTCGGGTTCGCCTTCACCCTAAAAGAAGACCGGGAAATAGAATATAAAATTCTGCCTTTCCCGCATCGATCTTTTCCGAAATTTATCAATTTAGGATTCATCCTAGGAAGTTTATCCCGAATCCTAAGCAGGGATAAGTCTGCGCCTGACACGCGCTGCCGGTTAGTTCTTAACCGTTTAAAAAGAACACCCGTTCACATATTCGACATTGTGACAGGTTGTTATTAATAACACCAGAATCCATGCCTTACACGCATGGGGAATTTCATCCCGAATCCTAAGAAAGGATATGCCGATGCCTAACACGCATCGTCGGTTTAGTCTTTTTCCGTAGAAAAAGACACCAGAGTTCGATTCTGGGGTATTCTATCCTGAAACCTAAGCAAGGATAAGTCTGCGCTTAACCCGCGCTGCCGGTTAGTTCTTAACCGTTGAAAAGAACACTCGCCCGCATATTCAACATTGCGGCAGGCTGTTATTAATAACACCAAAATCCATGCCTTACACGCATGGGGAATTTCATCCTGAATCCTAAGAAAGGATATGCCGACGCCTAACACGCGTCGCCGGTTTAGTCTTTTTCCGAACAAAAAGACACCAGAGTCCGATTCTGGGGTATTTTATCCCGAAGCCTAAGTAGGGATAAAGTCAACACCTAACACGTGTTGCCGGGTAGCCTATTCCCGTAACAATGGCGAAGTCTATGTATTCGACATCATAGCACGAAGTCTAAGGGAGTTCATTCCCTTAGCACAACGTTACATGCGGAACGGATTCCGATAATCCGCATGCTAGCCCGACTCAAACGGTAGTCGGTAAAGGCTAATCAAACCCGTTGAAGGCTGGGGGTTAGCCAAAAATCCTAAAGTCAACACCTAACACGTGTCGCCGGGTAGCCTATTCCCGTAACAATGGCGAAGTCTATGTATTCGACATCATAGCACGAAGTCTAAGGGAGTTCATTCCCTTAGCACAACGTTACATGCGGAACGGATTCCGATAATCCGCATGCTAGCCCGACTCAAACGGTAGTCGGTAAAGGCTAATCAAATCCGTTGAAGGCTGGGGGTTAGCCAAAAATCCTAAAGTCAACACCTAACACGTGTCGCCGGGTAGCCTATTCCCGTAACAATGGCGAAGTCTATGTATTCGACATCATAGCACAAAGTCTCGGAGAATTCAATCTCCGAGCATAACGTTACATGCGAACGGATTTAAACAATCCGCATGCTAGCCCGACTCAAACGGTAGTCGGTAAAGGCTCATCAAACCCGTTGATGGCTGAGGGTTTGCCAAAAATCCTATGAGTATTGTGGTCAATCATTTCAAATGGAATGACGAATCATAATAAAGACGAAAGCAAGTTTCACTAAGAGAATCAAAAGTCAAAGTGTTCAGCAAACAAAATCATACATCAAGACCATGACCAAAAATCTGCTGACTGATCTTAGAAAGCTTCTCATCATAAGCTTGCCTAAGTTCAGCCCTGATGGACTCCTCGGTGGTGGCTGAAGTCCTCGCAGCGATCTCTTCTGTCTCGGCTAGCTTCTGCTCCAGGGATCTCAACTCATCAGATAAAGCAGTGTGGGTTTGCTGATCCTGTGCTTTCGTCATCTGAAGAATATCCAAAGTCTCCTCTTTTTCACGGAGTGTTCTTCTGAGCTGGTCTATCTCGGTCGCACAGGAGGTAATAGAAAGATCGAGCTCGGCAAGCGAAGATAATCTAGTAGCAAGGCTCGTCTTAACTCGATCTACTCGGCCCCGCTGCATCTGAATCTCGAGCTCAGTAAAAATCTGAGTCTCGCGTGATGACTGTAAGCGGGTGTCCAGCTCGGTAGCAATAAATGAGGAGGCACCTGCATCTCGGAGCTCACGAAACATCTGAAGCTCATGCTCTAGGCAATCAAGGTCATCAACTATAGCCTGTGCCAAATCTGGATGTCCCGCTTCCCTTATCAAATTGACTTTAGAATCAAGGAAAGGCTTGAATTGGCGAAGAGAAAGTCCACCATGGAAAAGCTTGCCAATCATAGCATTCATGAAAGAGAAGAAGGAGCGGACTTCTATGCAGATGACAATCTTCTCAGGATCATCATCAGATAACAACTCCCTCGCCAGAATATGAAGACGAGAAGAATTCCCTGCACGATAAAAAAAAGATAAAACCGTCAGAAAAAGACCTTGAAAAGTAAATAAATAGTATTCATACCCTCTTGAGTCACTGGGGGTGATGGAGGTGTAACGGCTGGGGGGGGGGAAAGATAAAGATAAAACCGTCAGAAAAAGACCTTGAAGAGTAAATAAATAGTATTCATACCCTCTTGAGTCACTGGGGGTGGTGGAGGTGTAACGGCTGGGGGTGTATCAACTGGTGTAGTTGGTCCCATAGCCGGCTCAACAGGGTCATTCTCAACAAAAACTCCTGTTAAATACAAGTCAGAATTCTCAGAGGCATCACATTATAGCTGCATTAGTCAAAATTGGCTAGTCCTATAATTAATTTGGGAGGAGGCATATACCTTCGAAAGAATCATCCTCAAGATTCTTATCGAACGTAGGCTCGGAAAATATATCTCCGGGTAACTGGCCATCAAATTGAGGAGAGCTATACATGAAGTGGAGTGTAGGAGTCTCCGCGATCAAGCCTTCCTCGTCAAAATCATCAATAGAGAAATCTGACGTAAAAGAATATAAGTACCAAAGAAGAATAAAGAGACTACAACCAACAGAAATGAGTTACCCCTCATGGATGTGTTAGCCTCTTTATTCTCAAAATCCACGTATGCCTCCTGCAAGTTATCTGAAGAAGCAAGATGTACAGAGATGATTAGAGGATGCACAAATTCTTTTGTATACCATCTAAAAGATACATTGTCAATAGTAGATGTACCTGGATCTGCGGAATCAGGTCCTACATTGCTATCCTCCCTAATGTCGGCAACCCCTGTAGGCCTTTTTAACTGGGGCAGCGGGTCAGGCTCACCAGGAGACACAGGAACGGAATCGGGACTCATTTCGCTCTCTCCACGCTCTCCTATATAGATGGAAAAGCATGAGTCAATGTTCCGAATAACCAAGAAGGTGGTTTACAAAGTAGATGTTACCTCCGTCACTAGCAGGATCATCACCAGCCAAGTCCATATCAGATGCTCGGGAAGCTGCACGCGGCTTGCGGGCTAATCTCTTCCGCCTAGTAGCAGGGACAATAATCGAAGGTCTCGCCTGGGGAGGGGGACGGAACTCTTCATCCTGGTCAACTGTGGTCCCTGAAACATCAAACCATAGTCAGTTTCAATATTTCTAGAAGATGGAAGGAAAAGATGAATAGCAAACCTCGCTCGGAAAAGTCTTCATAACCTTCAGGATCTCCGCCTGAAGCCTCGTCTGCGGAATGAAAGGTCTTCTTTCCCTCTTCGTCAATCCGACGAGTCTTGTTCCGTGTCCTCTGTGATCGGGCATTTTCCCAAATCCTACGGGAATCAACCTGAGAAGCTTCCTCGGCCTCTAGCTCTGCAATCGGCTTCACGGGGATGGTCTTGTTGGCTGCTAACAACCACTTGCAGCTTAAGAAAGTAAGGTTCAACTGCCGATCAGCACTCGGGAGACTGAATTTAGCACCAGTACAGCCAGTCACGGTCCACAACCACGCACGGAGACCATCTACCAAACCGCCGTGGGCCCGAAGCTGCTGACGAGGATTCCCGATGTAAAGCTGATCGTAGCCAAACTGACGAGCGAATCGACAGGGTAGATATGGCTCTATGAAGCACTGATCCCTCACCCGAAAAGTCAAATAACCTGGCCTAATGTTTACCAGCCAGTTAAAGCACCCGATGTCCAAGTGAGTTCGATACTCTCTCGGCCTCTCCTCATCTGTCAAACTATCGCCGTATCGTCCGGAGAACTGCGGAAAGCAAGTGGAAAATGTCCAACACTTGTGGACCTGCAGCTGCTGCCTGACGTCAGAAAATCCGCGCCCCTCCCACTTGCCGTTCTCAAGCAATTGTAGTAAAGGAACGGAATGATCTGTGGCGCTCGGTACCGACATCATATCGGGACGGTGAAGGACAAACCAAGCCATCAAGTAAGTGTACGGGAGCTCTGTCTTAAGGGTGGGAATCTGAGTCGGCGATTCCTTTTCCTTCCGTGTAAAGGCACCAGAAAGCTGTCGAAGTCCTCGGTGAATGTTAGCCACCATCACCGGAAGAAGTGAGAGTTCTTTCTTGTAGGCAAGCTGAACTGCTGGATAGAGTACTTCCAAGGGCAGAGCGTCACAAGACTGGTACGAGACCACGCATTTCTTTAACCAAATAGCGAGGAAACCGGCAAGAAGGGTCATTGGTCGAATCGGTGCGGTAGCATGCCACAAGAATGATTTGAACTTGGTCCCTGCAGGAAAACCACCCTCAGAACTGCTAGTGGTATAAGAATGAGCGTCAATCTTCTTCATCAGAATGTTCACCCCTGAGGGAGTAAGTGGGGCCAACTCACAAATAGCCTCGCCAGAATTACTCTCCAGATTCTTGAACAAATAATTGGCAAACTGCTTCAGACTCACGAATGTCTTAGTCCTCTTTGCTAAAGGCTCAGACTGCGCCAAAGCTATATGATAGTGACAAGTGAGATCCCATAGAGTCTCGTAGCGATCGGGCATACGATCCTTCAGCAGACTTAATTCATGGTTGGAGGGAAAGTATTCCTGATACAACATCTGTCCCATGGGTAAGCCAGAAATCCTGTGCATCTCGTGAAGAGCCAAACCCAACTCCCCTTGCCGGGTCAGAAAAGTGTTCGAATCTGAATTATAAAGCTCGAACAAAGCACAGAAATGCCTTGCGCTGACAGGCAAGCCATACATGGTGGCACGAACGGCTGCATATAAACCACAAGCGTGCAACTCCTCGCCCCATCGGCTCAAGACATACGTCGTCATACGGGTCCACCAAAACTTGTCCAAAGAATGGACCCAACCATAAATCCTGTGACGCGTCGCAGGCATCTCCCGTCCTAGAGCAGCGAGGCGATTCCTCAAGGTAGAAGCGGTGGCGAGGAACTCGTTACGTGGTGGTGCATCCAGCCCCAGTACTCCGGGACGCAATCCGGTGATGTGACTTCTGCTCGAGCCAGGAAACGCCTGATGAGTGATGTAGCCGCAATGGACGCTCTCATGCTCCTCCGTCAAGCGCCACGACATCTCCCGTGTCACGGCCTGACGCCTGAGCTCAGTCAATGAACGATGCCGAGGAATCTTCGGCAAATATAAGAATCCATTGCCAGTCTTATGAAGCCACTGCTCAGCCTCAATAAACGCTGCGTCGGGATCTTCGACAGAGTCACCAAACAAAAAATCAGTCTTCCTGAGAGACTGAACGGAACTGGCGTCCTTCACAAGAGGTGCATCGGTAATCAACTGTCGAAGAGCTCGGTGCCCACCTTCCTTCACCGCCTGTACAACCTCAGTCGATGTGTCCAAAATGAACTGAGGAGTGACTGGGATAGGGGAAACATCGTCGGAGGTCGAATAATACTCGCCACGACGCCCGTATACTGCGTGAGATGAGAACGCTCCAGAAGGGTATTTAACTGAGAACAAGCAATTAAACGTTTGTTAATTCCAGTTACAAAAGGAAATTGAACTCATCTTACGAAGGGGTAAGATAGAGTCATTGCCTTATAAAGGGTGTGACGTTTTGGCCACGTTGCGCCTTCATAAGATAGGGTATATCGATAATATATCCCTGCCTTATAAGGCACAACGCAGCGACAAAACGCCCCCTTTATTTATTATGAGATAGTGTTTTGACCAAGCAAAACATATCTTTGAAGCGTCGATCCTCACCAAGGAGAATCAAGGCTTTTCCCGGTTCACCAAGGAGAACAACGGGGAGTAAAAAAAAAAGAAAAAGGACCAATTTGCAAATTTCCAAGGAAAAATGGACTAATTTGTAAATTTCTAGAAAAAAGTAGCTCACCGGCGTAAGAGGGAGGCACGCCATCTGTCGGCGCGGCAGAGGATTGACCCCTCGCCATACGGGACATAGAGACCTGCAAGATAAATTGAGGGATCAGATCTAGAAAAGGAAAAATCTCATTTTCACCCCTAAAAAGGCGAGTTTGAGGCA